CCGCCTCGGCCTCCCAGAGAGCTAGGATTACAGGCGTGAGCCACCGCGCCAGCCTATTTTTTAATTATTTTTTATTATTTCAATACGATTAGTGTTTGCATTATATTATACCTGTTTAGAATTCAAGTTTTCTTGGATCTTTTTCATATTCTGAAACAAAGACATTACTATGGAAAATCCTATACAATTGCAGGTCTTTCATCTCAACATTTCACAAAATACACAAGTCTCATTAGAAACTGAGTACTTTTTAAAAATTCCCATGGCAACATTTTATTAAGAGAAGCCTAATAAGTGTGGTTTACCCGCATTGCTTCCCCACGAATTCCAGCATGCACAGACAGTGAGCACTGCCGTGTGGTTCGAATGCTTTCCATGACCACGCACAATACTGCCTTTCTGCTATTCCTTGACTGACGGATCAAGCTGTGGTCAAAGTTAATTTTTCTAAAATAAAGAAGATACATTCACAAGACTTTAACATCTAATTATATATAACCAGGTACATTTTTTGCTTTCATATGTTATTCATTCATGATTCACCTTAACTAGAAGTAAATCAAGGCGGGCCTAATACAAATGAGAAAACACACCCAAAAGAAATTCAATAATCTGCCTCTCCTTTCTATTAATATTTTCTTAAAACATGCTCATATAGAATGTCTTATTCTATCTGTTGAGAGTCTGTTGGAGGAGACATTTAGTATATTTGTGCAGACAGATTCCTGTATTATTTTAATCTAATAATTTAGCATATGTGTGCAGAGCCAAAGTGATTTTGTGCAACAATTAAAAATTTTAAGCCAAATGATTTTGGATATCTACACTTATCCGAAGTTTGAATATACTACTAATTTGAGTATTTCAAACATATCAAGCAAATTACACTAGTAAAATACAACCTCAATGTTTTAAGCATTCTTTGTAACGAAGTTTATATAGTTAAAATATTTAATGAAAACACTGAAGTATATCAGGATTATTATACTGACCGTGTAGTGATTTCTTTGAGTAATGTTGATATTTCCACTTCATGTTTGGTTACTACACCAAATGAAGCTTTTACTGCAATGGAATCTGATCCAGCAACGTTAATCCCAACATCATTTACAATATGGTTGCCTCGCCTTCCATACAATGAAACATCTGATTCATCTTCATAATTCAGTAATTGATAAGATGAAATACCTTTACAAGAAGGAACTTAGTGTTTTTTAAATGTCTTGAATTCAATTTACGCAGATTATATATAGTAACACGTTAATTTACAATTGAAGACTTGAGTACCCAAATGTTAGAAAAATGCAACATTTCAAACCAAGAGTAAAAATAGCAATTCAATTACTCATACAACAAAAAGAAATAGCCAGAATTGTTAAAATGAACTCAAATTTTCTGTGCAGCCAACAAAACGTCTTAAGCATCAAGACCCATTATGTGGTTTAAAGAAAAACAAGTGTTTATAAGCAATAACTTATCAAAATATTAATTTATTTCATAATCTAGCCTTCAAGTACCAATTTGTGTACCAATTATAACTGAATCATAAAACAAAAATTACTTTCGTCTTATTTGACCATGTGAGATAGGTAAGCTGCCCAAATAATATCCTATTTTATAAATAAATATCATATTCTAAGTTGATTTGGTTAATTTATAAAATAATTGATAGATTTGCAAATTATTTGACCAATAAGAGATTCGATACTATATAAACTTTAGACATTGTTAATCGTAATCTTAATGTTAATCCTACTATTACTACTATCATAATAGTTGGTATTATTGACAATGTATACATATTACTAATATAAATGGTATGTGTATATATATCTATATATATACAACCTATGTTTAGGTTACCAATAATACAGCTGAATGAGTAGTCACTCTCAAACATTTAAACTTACCAGCAGCAATTTCTCTGTCTCCTAGCAGAATATCTTTCAGTGTAAAAGGTGTTGAGGTAAATTTATATCTAGGAAACAGAAAGCATCGCTTCTTTTTTACCACCAGACTTAAAGGTTGATATTTGTCAGCTTCACTGAGGCTTGGAACAGGAACTAATCTCCCTCCATCTCCAACTTGCTTGACAAAGCTCTTGGTGGCAGCAGCAAACATATTAATATCAAAACGACATCAACTGCAACCCCCAGATAAATCCATTTTCAAAGAAGAAAATCAGGCACAAATTAAGCTTTGCTTGATTTTAAATATAATTATACACCTTAAAAATACAAAGCGTGGTTTCACCAAGTAGTTTAGCAGTGTACAATTCACTGTCTCCCCTTGTGTGCACAGCTAATGAATTATAGATCAACGGTGTAAAATGATATACTAAAAGCAAGTCTAATTTGGAATGGCAGGCTATAGCACTAAAATGTATACAGAAAACTAATAATTTTAAAATATGACCAAAATCTTTGATGAAGGTCACATTTGAGAGTGATTTGCCACTGACACTGGGCCAATTTTAAAGGAGGCATATAGCCCTATGGGAAACAATGCAATTAAGGCACCAACATTAGTCCTGGGTATCACCTACAATGGATCTAGTCCAAAGGGAATTCCTTCAGAAGTCCACCACTGGAATTCTGGCATCAGAAAAGTGCAGTTTTGAATCCTCATGGTATACATTTCATTAAGCATTTCATTCATTCCATCTTGTTTACAAAACCAAGTGTTAAATATAAATTCACAGAACAGAGGGAAACAATTATATAGAGACCTTTATAAAATACTAAATTAAAGCCATATTACATATAAATAAGTGTAAACTATCATCTAGTAGTTTCTTACTCTGAAGCTGGGAACATAGACTACATCTCTTTGAAATGGAGTCCTGCTTCATTTTTCTCTTTTTCATCCTTATCCCAGTTAACAAGAGCTATGTAAGGTTTTGGCTTGTTTTTAAGTAATTTTGTAGCTAAAAGTAAATTTTAGAACCAAATCTGAGTGCTGAAATATTGTTTTGCCATATGTGGACGTCAACGTTTTGAAATAGCGACTACGTAGTCCTTCCAATAAGATATTCATTAAAACCTTACACTGGTGGAGCGTAATCTACATACATACGTATACAGAAAGAGGGAGAGGAAACTCGAATAGGCTTAATTCAAGCCTCAAATTAAAAAACATAATTTGATTACATTCTGAACATCTTTCACTTGCTTTCAAGTATCTAGGGCTCCCATGCAAACAAAAAATAAATTACTTTTAATAATGTCCTTTCATGCGAGTAGCATTGTGCAAAGCAATCTTCCAGAACACCGAGTAAACACAGGCAGGCATTCTCCAAGGGGCTAGCAAACCCAGAAAGAGGCGACAAGACATGTAATGCGTAGTCTGACCCCACCAAAGGTGGTGCATCCCAGGCAAATGCCATTACAATCGACAACATAGGTCTACAGAAACTGCGTTTGACTGGAATCTGGTCCACAGAAAAGCCTTAGTTTACATCTAACGTGCCCTGCTGGAATCCGCTGGCCCAGCGTTCTACTCGTGACGAAAGCCTAGAAGACAAAGGAGCCCGCACAGCGGGAGAGGAGGGGTCTCTGGACATCCCGGCGTCCTCCTAAAAGCAGGGCTCGGGAACCCGGAGTGCCAGCCGCAGCCCCTGGAGCAGATACACCGGCGCTCCCCAGCTTCCGAGCCAGGCCCAGGGAGGCTCCCCGACAATTTTGCATTCGGAATTTTGAAATCTTTTTCTTAAAGTGCCAGCCCCATTCCTCCATCCCCACCAAAAGGCTGAGCGTCAGGCCTCCCAGACCCTAGGCGCACCCTGGAGAAACCTTCTCTCGGGGCGAGAAACGGCCTCCTTCTAAGGACAAAGAACGGCTGCCTTGAGGCCCCGTTACTGCGGGCTGGCAAGGGCCGGCGGGGCCGGCGGCCTGGACGCCCTGGGAGCCGGAGGCGGGGGCACGGGCAGGAGACTGGAAAAGCCAGAGCTGGAGGAGGGGGCGGGGCCTGGAGTGGGAGGGGCGGGGCTGGACAAGGACTAGGGCCCAAAGCGGGGGCTGCGAGGGGGCGTGGTCGGCGCTAAGACACCGAGGCCCCGCCCCCGCCCCGCCTGTCCCCTTCGCGAGAGGGACGCAAGCTGGGACGAGAGGGGGAATCGAAGGAGGCGGCGGCGCAGGAGCGCTCCTCTCGGGGACCAGCCGACCGGGGAATCGAGGACGTTGCTCTGCAGCGCTTTTCCTTCTGCCGCCCAGCCGTCCCTTCTCGCCATGTCCCAGAGCAGGCATCGCGCAGAGGCCCCGCCGCTGGAGCGCGAGGACAGCGGGACCTTCAGGTCAGCGCCCGGGCCGTCGGGGCCGCAAGGCCGTGAGCGGTGGGCAGCACAGGCGGGGGCGGGGAAGCCGGCTCTCCAGCGGCATTCTGGGTAAAGCTGCGGGAGCTCGACCCCGCCCTCGGCGGCCTGGGCTGGGGTCTGCGGCCGGGCCCCGCCCCTCTAGTGGCCCGGCGGCGCGCGGGGTGGTCAGGTCTGGCGCGCGGTCTCTGCGCCGGGAAAAGGGATCGTGGGCTTGGTCCTGACGGGATGCAGCGCTGGTGCCCGCCCTGTTCCCCTGAGAATCCTCCTACCCGCATTCAAGTTCTCTCTCTGAAGACCTCCCTCACCCTGCTTGCCCCTGTTGGGTGATTGCCGCAGCGGGGCCGGGAGACAGGTGCGGCCGGGCCTTGCCAGCTCTGGCCCTGCCGCCAGGGAGCTGTGGCGCCTTTCCCCGTCACTACTGGTGGCGGCCAAAACTGGCCTCTGTATGCTTCTGCTTTCCTCTCTGATTTAGCATGCAAAGCACACCTTTTCTGGTTTTTGCAGTTTGGGGAAGATGATAACAGCTAAGCCAGGGAAAACACCGATTCAGGTATTACACGAATACGGCATGAAGACCAAGAACATCCCGGTTTATGAATGTGAAAGATCCGATGTGCAAATACATGTGCCCACTTTCACCTTCAGAGTAACCGTTGGTGACATAACGTGCACAGGTCTGTATGCACAGTTAACCCCGATGACCATGCGGGTTGGCATTCAAGACTTGGTGTTGTTTTTCAGTTCGGAAAAGTGCTCTTTTTGCCAGAGACAGCTATGAGGAACAGGCTCTGAAACTGAGACCTCTCATCTCAGGTCATTAGGACTTTCCAACTTCATCTGATTCCCCCCCTAATTTCTCTTCCCCAGATACCAAAGAAGCTCAGAAACTAAAAAGTTATCCAGGCATTCTGCAAGTCTTTCCTACCCTAGTATCCTCTTAGGGTTCTAAGAATTAGAAGCAGGAAAAGTTTTCGGAGCAGTCATAGCTGTGTCAGTAGGTACTGTCAAGTTTCATAGATCGTAGCAGATGCCAGGAGACACAACCCCAGAATTTTCTGACTTTCTCCCCTTTCTGTATGGACTCATTTGGCAATTTAGGTCCGTTGTACAAGACTTGATGGTGTATCAAAGCAAAATGAGGAAGGGCAGAAGATTCCCATATACTATATTGCATAGCAGCTTCTAGTTTCTGAAACTGAACAGGTATTTCCAATAAGATAGTATCCCCTTTTTATACTTAAATAGGTTCAGAAAGATAATAAGTAACATGCCTAAGGTCACATAGCAATGAAGTTTCAGAGTTCAGACTCCTGGCGGTAAGCTTGATCAATAGATAAGTTAAGTTGCTCATCTGTAAATGTAGACATTGTTTTTCCTATGTATCTATTTAATTGCAAACAAAAAATATTGAATGCTAAATTTAACTTGGAAGACTGCCAAGAAAGAAATTTAGTAGGAAGGCTGAACTTCCACCATCTGGTAATCTGAAGGCATCATTTGTTTGTGTCACTGGAAATCTGGAGTCCTTTATTTTCATTGAAGCCACTTTAAGACAAGTTTGAAGCCTTTTTGTTTATGTGAGGCAGGTGGATTGTAGGTGCTAGCTGGAAGGGTCCTCATGTAAACCATAGGGTCAACATTGCCTTACTACTTTAGTCTACTTTTAAATATTCAGGGAGAATTCAAGAAAAAGTAGCCTTCCCCACCCCTCCATGTGTTTTAGACCAGGGATTAACAACCTATGGCAACCATTGCTTCTGCCCTCTTTTCTCACACTACCCTGTCTTCCCATGCAAGCTCGTGTGCCTTCTTGGCTTCAAATACTATCTAAAGGCTAATAATTCTGAAGTGTCTGTCTTCCAGCCCAAGGCCAGTTACAGAACAGTGGATCGGCCTGTGCTTGCTAGGGCATCTTTGCTTGGGTGATGCAAAGGCACCTCCATCTTTCACGGTCCCAAACCAAATCCATCTTTTCCCTCAAACGCATTCCCCCTCCATTCCCTTTCTCTGTAAAAGCACCATAATCACCCAGTTGGTCAGCAGAAATTGGGGTTGTCTTCTTGACTCTTTTTTTAAAATTTTTGTTCACCTAATCCATTATTTCCCAATGTTTTTAATGTTTATAATTTAATTTACTTCAAATGTCTGTGCTAAGTGAAAGCTACTGAATTAGAACTTCAACAAACTCAAACCATTTATATCCTTTACCTATCTGTTAGGTAAACATTTGCACTAAAACATTTTAAAATTATTTTACTTACAAAGTCAAAACTGCTATTATTTGATATATCACCAATCATTTAGCTTGTATTATATAAACAACATAATGTGCCAAGTTATATAAACCCACCAAGTTCTCCCCATGGAGTTTCCCTTTAAATTCACAGAAGTGAAAAATCTAATTCAAAAACTATAAGAAAACAATGGGTATAATAAACAGATTAACTTACTGAAAAAAATCTTTAAAGATGTTTAACCAGTCTATTTTCAATAAAAATGCCATATTCTCTTTTGTCAGTTTGATCACACAGCTCAGGATAATTATCAGTGAGCTTCCTGGTCTGTTCTGCAACACTGAAACATCCCACACCCAATCCATGTGACCTGGCCCACACCCAGGCAATGGAAAGTTTTTCTCCCTTTCTAAAAATTTTTTTCCCTAAACTATAACAGAACCTGTAAAACAAGTCATTATGGTCAAAAATGTGACCTTATTATTCAGATTTATTTGGGAAGAAGCTTTAAGGCATATATATTTTTTAATAGTTAAAAATATATACACAGCTGGGCGCAGTGGCTCACGCCTGTAATCCTAGCACTCTGGGAGGCCGAGGTGGGTGGATCGTTTGAGCTCAGGAGTTCAAAACCAGCCTGAGCAAGAGTGAGACCCC